TGGTGAGGCACTGGAACAGGTTGCCCAGAGAAGCTGTGGAGGCCCCATCCCTGGAAATGTTTAAGACCAGGTTGGGTGGGGCTTTGGGCAACTTGGTCTAGTGGAGGGTGTCCCTGCCCATGGCAGGGGGATTGGAACTAGATGGTCTTTAAGGTCTCTTCCAACCCTAACCATTCTATGATTCCATGATTCTATGATTCCATGATTCTATGATTCTGTTGATATAATGCAAGCTTAGACAGTTAACTCATGTGCAGACATCCACATTGTGAACACTTGGGAAAGCTGAATCCCTGCTGGTATTGTGTTAAGATCACCGTGATGCAGCAGTATAGCAGATTCCTGTGATGTTCTGTGTAGCGTCACTTGGTACTACCAACGTGATGAGGATAGGCAGTGACCTTTCTCGATTAAAACATAGGTCACATTACTGCAGTCTGGATAGAATGGATAGGATGAGAAAAGAAGTCACGAGGTAGATCAACATCCACCAACTCTAACCAATGTCAAAGATAAGTGTTAGGAAACCATAACCAGCAACTGCTTATACAACTTCTTCTTTTCCCAGACCTCAAGGCCAGCTATAGATGTATTTGTGAAACATTGCTTCCGAAAAAAATGTGTTCAAGTCTCTCTCCCATAGGCAGTGGGAACTCGCTGCTATGTTGTGTAGGTGATCAAGTTGCAAAACCCTAAAAGTTCTTTGAGCGACATAGGCCACCATCAGCTGTCACTCAAATGTCTTCTGAGCAAACATGAATGTAGCTTGAGCTGCTAGCTGAAACCAGAAATGTAGTCTAAATTAGTTTAAGCTTCTCTACATTCAATAAAGACAGAGAGCACTTAAAGAGGCCAGTTCATCCTATTCTAAGATAGACGGTTGAATCACTCTCCAGACATATGTATTTCTCTATTTTCTATAGAATACTTAACTAATACATGTATAAAGTTAGGTGTAACTAATCTTAACCTAGCTGCTCTCATTGTCTCTATCCTTCATCTGCTACACAGCAGACAACTGTGGGGATCTGATGGCCAACCACAGTGGAGAAAAAAGATAACCATTTCTCCCAGTTCCTGTCAAATCTGTTCATAACGCTGCCTTGGGTTTTTTTACAAAATTAAATTTGTATCACCCAAGACATGTTTTCCAAAAATGTGTTCTAATGCCATAGGAAAGTATGTTTGGTGCAAAAGCCACTGAAGAGGGGTTTGTCTTTTGTGACCTATGCCATGTATATAGTCAGATGATAGCACCATGGTCATTCCTTCTAGCTTTAAAACCTTTGAGACAAACAAATATATCTATTTAAAA